GAACTAGCTCTCTTAAAGTGGATCCCAGTAGACAGTCGTTTGTGCGCTGTCCGACTAAACGGAACAGTGAGGATCCGAAAAGGTAGGGACACTCGTCGTTGCCTCTTCGTCGTCTCTGCCTATTCTCCCACTGACTGCAGCGCAGATGATGTAAAAGATGAGTTTTACAGAAAGCTCTTCGACCTTCTCCGAAAAGCTAGGCGCTCGGATGTAGTAATAATGGCCGGTGACTTTAATGCTCAAGTAGGTAAACTAAGCGATAGGGAAAGACACCTGGGTGGATCTTATAGCATCGTGACTCAAAGAACATATAATGGCGACCGTCTGTTGCAGCTATGCTCAGATAACCGCCTGTTCCTTGCAAATACTAACTTTAAGCATAAGGAAAAACATCTTTTAACATGGCGACCCCTAATTCGTCCCAACGTTGGACCGAAATAGATCACATCGCTATCAGCCACCGATGGAGGGGCTCGATAGAAGACTGTCGCTCATTCTGGAGCACATGCTTAGATTCAGATCATGCTCTAGTACGAGCGCGTATTTGCCTGCGTCTTACTGGATGTAGGAAAGACGCTGCAAGTAAACCTCTTAGGGGCCTACTTAATGATAGTCAAGCTAAGAGTATATTTCAGGAACAACTAGGAAAACAGTTAGGCAGCTATGTATGTGATGCCCACCCCGAGGCAGCATGGAATGATATACGAAAAGCTGTGGAAACAGCAGTGATATCTGCTAGTACGGTAACCCGTAAGGTTAGGGAGCAACACTGGATCTCAGCAGCATCTATCGCACTGATAGATGCTCGGGAACTCATTCCACCTGGCTCTGAACATAATGAAGAGTGGAGTCAACTTAAGCGCAAGCTGACAAGAAGTCTACGCAATGATCGTGAACAGTGGTGGGTAGCGAAAGCAAGAGAGATGGAAAAGACAGCAGCAATAGGTAATAGCAGACAATTGTTCAGACTTGTTAAGGAAACCGGTATTAGGAAACCGACTGTTAGCGAAACACTCTCAGAGAAAGATGGATATATTATACATTCTCAATCCAGGAGATTGGATCGATGGGCAGAACACTTTAGGGATCAGTTCAACTGGCCTTCAGCCACACTTCAATTTCCCACGATCTCCAGTCAACCTGAATGCCAAGTTAGTGTAGGTCCTCCGACTCTTTACGAAGTTGAAAAAGCCATAGGAAGTTTGAAGCGAGGGAGAGCAGCAGGCCCTGACAGGTTTACTCCTGAGATTTTTAAGGATGATGGTTCAGTATTAGCAGTGAGATTAACTGAAGTCTTAGGTAGAATTTGGGAACTGGACGTAATCCCATCTGACTGGTCTCAATCACTGATTGTGCCAGTCTATAAGAAAGGACAAAAGTCCTCTTGTGACAATCACAGAGGAATCACTTTGACAAATATAGTATCTAAAATATTAGCTTCAATAATACTTCAACATCTAACCAAAGCTCGTGAAGAACAGACTAGAGAAAATCAGGCTGGTTTTCGACCTGGACGTGGTTGCATAGATCAGATATTCACACTGCGTCAGGTTCTGGAACTCAGACACACATTCAGACGCCCCACAATGGTAGTATTTCTCGACCTTAAGGAGGCATTCGACTCTGTTGATCGTAAGGTTCTATGGCAGTGTTTGTCACTGAAAGGAGTACCAAAGAAGTACATTAACCTTATAAAGGCTCTCTACTCGAACACAACTGGTAGAGTGAGAGCTTATGGCGAACTGTCATAAGAATTGAATACCTCGAGTGGTGTTCGTCAGGGTTGTCCACTCTCTCCATTCTTGTTCAACTTTGTCGTCGACGTACTTTTAGGGATAACACTTTCGTCGTCTAGATTTCCAGGGGTTGAACTTCTACTGGGAGGTTCACTTGTTGACTTAGAATATGCTGATGACATAGTTTTATTTGATGAAGACGCTGACAAAATGCAGAGTCTTCTGACCACTCTAAGCAACAATCCAAGCATGTTCGGGATGCGATTCTCCCCCTCGAAATGCAAAATGTTGCTTCAGGATTGGGTTGTATTGACACCCGAACTAATGATAGGGAGTGAAGTAATTGAGCGTGTCGATCGCTTCACTTATCTTGGAAGTCTCATCAGCCCTTGTGGTCTGGTGTGTGACGAAATCTCAGCACGGATACAGAAGGCTCGACTAGCTTTTACCAACTTGCGTCATTTATGGCGTAGGCGAGATATCCGTCTATCAACCAAAGGACGGGTTTACTGCGCAGCAGTTCGTTCCGTCCTACTTTATGGCAGTGAAACATGGCCGGTAAGAGTAGAGGATATTCGTAGGTTACTAGTATTTGATCATAGGTGTCTTTGAAATATTGCTCGTATATCCTGGGACCATCGAGTAAGTAATGCAGTTGTCAGGAAACGGGTACTAGGCAAGGATGGCAAATCAATTGATGACGTAGTGAAACTTCATCAGTTGAGATGGCTGGGACACGTGTTACGTATGCCCAACGACCGACTGCCTCGACGTGCGATGTTCAGTGGGATAGGAGTAGGTTGGAAGAAAGCTAGGGGCGGCCAGACCAAAACATGGCACAAGTCCATGAAGTCACTGACAAGTGGACCGAGTCATGTTGGTAGGTGTAGACTACCGCGAGATGATAGCAACCGATGGCTAGAGACCCTGAATGACATGGCTCAAAACCATTTGCAATGGCGCAGGTGCATCCACTCTTTGTGTTCTCCCAAATTCTAATCTTCTGAATTCTTCATGTCCCTTTCTTTTTTTCTCTTTCCAAATTTATTTCACTGTATTATACTCTTTAAATAATATCTCCAAACACTAATTTTCCTGATTACTGCTTATACTCTTATTACCTCTACCACTACGGGATTTGAGTCGACCACTGCATCTGTGTGCTAATGTGGTGTGGCAACTCGAACTGATGTACGTACGTACGAAGTTCTACGTTGTTACTAACTGACTGACAAACCGCTGAGGAGTAGTCCGTTTTTAAATCGAAACAGCTGTCCAATGTTTCCTTTTTTTCACTGGTTGTCTAATTTATATAGGTTCATGATCTCACTATTGGTATAGTGTGGATTCACGACCGTTGTTGCTACCTTGACGCGGTGGTCGGGCTTGCCTGTCGTGATGAAGCAACCGAGCTATACTGGCTGGAACAACCGTTCCTCAAGGTCCTACCATGTCAGACAGGTCGGTTGAAGAGCGGTAAGACTAAAAGCAGCAAACCCAAGGTCTGAAGGCGAAGTCGTACTGCTGACTGTACAGAGGTGTGACAGCAGTAAGGTGTTTCCTTCAGACAACCAGCATGACAGCGATGCTGCCTTCCCACAAGGAGGGATGGGGTTAGAAAAGGTCGACCCTAAAAATGTCACACCTCACCTTACCTCACGGATTTCCGTCTCCGGCGTTAAGGCCCTTTGAAGAACGGAGCTAACACGCCAAAAACCTTCCACGAAAAGGCCGTGCGCGACCGGCCTCAAGCAGTTATCCCTTGGGCACTGCGGTCACGCTTTCAGGTCACTGAGACCACCTCTAATCCAATTTTTTTTCAGGTACCTCCAGAAGAACCCTTCCTCGGTGTGGGCAACCGGGAAGTGATAACCGCCCTCATACCTCTAACAGCACTCGAGACCACTAGTGTGGATATATGACTGAATCACAAAACTACAAACACACCTATCCGACCATTTAATCAACAAACTAGCCGTCAATATCCAAAATAACTGGCGTAAATACTGAATGCGATAAAGTCATTCGCAATATTAGTCTGTCGATCGTGTGTGATACATCCTATCTTTTCTGTCTTCACTCACCAACCAATCACTGCTTACATTTTATGGATTCACTACTGGATAGCTTTCTCTTCATTGAAAGTAATATTTCTGAAACATTTCACCTGAAGAGATCATTTCCTGTCTTCAGTCTGACCCTAATATAAAACGTTTATCTCCTTTTTTGAAAATCCATCGAACGATATGGACCTTGTCAATTCATCATCATCTAATGTGCTTTAAATCTCTTGTGTTTTGCCTTTTTTGTTTGTTGGCAAAGCTTTGTGGTGGTCCAACATGACTCTTGGTACATGTATGCTTGCGCTATTGTGTTCAGGTTGTAAAGAATATAGAGGGCTCCTGGATCTTTTGGAAACCATTGCAAAATTACCCTCGTGAGTGGTATATTTATAACAGAGCACTACTCAGATTGAGCGTCAAGCGTAGGTCACATGTCCGAAATCTACTCTACTTGTGTTGGTTTTGCCAGTCGCGTAGCATCACTGACAATCACACGTATACATCTAGCGTGATCGAAATCCGAGTTTGGTAATTTATTACTTGATAAAGAAGCTGCCCTATTCTCTATTTATTTATTTAATACACATGAAATTTGCTACAACTGGGCACCAAAAATGTATACGCCAAACAATAAATCATTTACTTCATAATTATTAATCATCATATTTGTGAGTGTGTTAGAATACTGCCTGGGCACTTATACTGAATCAGGTGGTAGACCACTTACCAGGCCTTTGCCCCCGAGGAATAATCCATAAGACAGCAATGTAATGTCAGGAGATACAATTCCGTGGTAGCTTGCGACCAGAGTAATTCTATATGCCACTTGTTCCCTTAGGATCTTGGAGCCTATGCACACCATTGATTTAGTAGAATCAGGGTTCTTCTACTTCTATAGACAGACCCTCTGTACATACCAACCCTCTCAATTTCGTAAAACACCCCACCTCATGAAAACAATAAGTAGGATTTTCTTAGCAGAGGTTGCCAACGTGTAGCTTTGTAAATGTATTTTAGGAAGAAGAACTGACTCATCCCACCCTAGATTTTTACAAGGGTATTTGGGATTTCCAATTAATTATGAGTTTGGCTTTTACATATATTTTTATGTGAGCGTCTAATCAATTTACTTCAAAAATTTTCTCAAAATTGATTGAATTTTTAATGTCATTTTCTCGCTCTACTATCCTTTTTATGTCAGAATCTTGAAAGAGCAAATCCAGTCGTTGGAAATGGAAAAGTCTTTAGCATTGAGCACAGTAACTAAATATAAAGTTAGTCATATATTTCCTTACATATATCATTGTATAGCATATTGAAATGAAGGACTTTATTAAAATCTGCATGACTTTTTTTCAAGAGGATGAAATCAACCAGAGTTAACTGGTTCATCTTTACTCACTTACTCGCTTACTCACTTACTTTACTTTACTTATTGTTATTGTCACTCTAAATCATCAATTAATTGAAGTTGGGAATATGTATTACTGGTATTAATGGTTTTAGTTCTCCTCCTTAGTTGTCAGTGGAGTTTTTCCTGAACATTGTTGAGTATTGTGTAGTATAGAAACAGCCGGATAACACCTGTATGTGGTTGTTGAAATCTTATCATGAGGTATCTGTTGTGATGTCTGAGTCAATAGACTATTCTTCCAAATAATATATATGTTTAATTAAATAAATATATGCTTCCCAAATATTTCACATGACTAGGGAAGAGATATCATCATTGGTGGTTATTTAGTGTTGTGGCTACTCTTACTAAGTAGTGATATTTACTACAGTCCATTAACATGTTCCTCATGTTGAGATTATATCAAACCGAGCAACAGTGGTACTGAATGAATCATGTGGAAATAGATTTGTTTACGTGTTGTATGTGGGTTGAACGGAATAATTTTTTCAGAACGGGTTTTTTGATCCATAAGGGATAAGTTAGAGTTTCTCACAACTAGAATCGTTACTATCAGACGATCATTGAGAACTTTATTCGCCTCATTACTTGAAAATGTAAATAGTTAAGGCAACAAACAGTTTAGATTGTAAGCGATATGTGCTTGGTTAGTGTGTCGATTTCATAAGACAGTCACTCGTTAAGACTTAAGTACGGGTGATTTCTAATAAAAATGACCTGCCACCAACCTACATGCTCTAGAGCTTCATCGAAATTCACTATCATAAATTTCTTGAAACCTAGTTCATTATCACATGAAGATAGTCAACTAAGAGTTCATCACACCAATTATCTTATATATGTGAGTTGATTAAATAGTTGAACTCTAATTGTTTATTTAACGAACTTGTAGTATAAGACCAAAAATGGACTTAAGTGACTGGGATGGTTGTTTTCCGAAGTGTAGCCACTTACGAACCTGTTATTTCAATGAATTTCTTGCCTGATTCAGTGGTTTAACATTTACGTACCAACCTTCTTTTACTCCTTTTACCTGTCGTGGAGAAGCATAGGCCGCCGACCCGAATTCTCCAACCCATTTTTTCCTGGGCTCTCCTTTCCAGCTGTTGCTAAGTGTGACTCATTCTTTTGATATCTGCTTCCAATTTCTGGCTCAATGTGTTTTTTAGCGTGCCTCTTTTTCCTTTGGCTTAAAGATTGCAAGGTAGGACTGGCTTTGTGATGGAGTTTGATGATTTCCGCAATGTTTGTCCTATCCATTTCAGGTGTCTTTTCCTAATTTTGTGTTCAGATGGAAGCTGGCTTGTTCTCTGCCACAGTAGATTGTTGTTGGTGTTATATTCAGCCATCGAATCCGAAGTATCTTGCGTACACAATTATTTATAAATACATGTACATTTTTGGTGATGGTTGTAGCTCCATACAGTAGAGCTGTTTTGACGTTCGTACTGAAGTTTCCTTGATGTTGGCTGACATTTGTTTTGAGTCCCATACGCTCTACTGTTTTAGGAATTCTGTCATCGCCTTGGCAATCAAAGATCCACAGCAAGGATGCACTTTTCTATCAAATACGTTTAAATAGGTGATGTAGTTGATAAGGGTATTTGAACTATTCAGTTATGCAACCAACTGTCCAACATTTGAATATATATATATATATATATATATATTCGCAAACAGTTGGGACGCACGGTAGTTGTAACTTGAAAGTCTGTCTATGTATAGAGATAAAGTTATTTATAGTATCATTTGCGCTGCGTTACCTTGACATTCTGGTTGCTTCTATGGGGTCTGCTAAAATTGACGATGGATTCAGTAATTTTCACGTCAAGATAAGAGCGACCTTTTCACCCGTTTGTTTCTAAATTCTTTTGAAGGTTTTTAAAGAATGATGATTGATCCAAGGATTCACAACATTTTTCTGTCTTTGCAATACTTTTCTAACGAATCTTCGAGGATTCCCAATACATTTTGTCCCTGGTAAATGTTCAAGTAGGCGGGAGCTTTTATGACCTATCAATCGTGTAAACGATTACAAGAACGGTGATAATGAATTTATTGTTAATATAGATGAGTGAAATAACAACAAGTATCATTAGAGGTCATATGTACACAGAACGTACACAGAACTGAATGCACGAATTCCTACTTAATCAGTTAAATTTGTTTTCACAAATGAAATTTTTTTTTCCTTTTTTCCCACAGAAACTTTTAGATCGAAAGTTGTCAAAAAACTCATCAGTTAGCAGTGAAAGTTGTATAACACCAGCAACTTCACCTAAACATCAAGGTATATATTGCCTGTTCATTTTTTATGAATAAATGTAATTTGTTTACTCACTTTATTGTGCAACATATATTCTCAAAGTAAATGATTAACATATCCACTAAAAAGAGAATTCTTTAGAAAAATGAAGCAATCCGATTATCCAATGTACTTATTTTCTACCATTAGTCTAACAACTTCCACTTGTATTCAAAGTATATTCACTAAAACAAACATATACCTCAGCTGTTAAACTATCCGAAATCCAGTTTAGACAACTGGATTGTATCAACAGCCCACCAACTACTCGATTAATAAACTGTCCTTTCAATACCTTCACTATACTAATGTGGACCATGGCTATCTATCTATTGGGGAGAAGGCATTTATCTGTGTTACTTTGTTAGGATACAAGCAACATAAATATCCTTTTTAAGTTTCTTACAAAACGTATCAGTTAAAGTCTTTGATTGTAATGTAGTATTTAGTTTGAATAAACGATCAATTACTGATGAATGAAAAACATGTTGAAACAAGTTAGATTATCAAATGTTTATTGTATTCAAAGCGCCATTATCAAAATAATAATTGCACAAAATTTTGTTCTAATTTGAAACATTAGACTACTCATCCTGAAAAGAGATGTGAAATTAATAAGACTGGGACAATGTATGATTCATCACTAATTATTTGATCTCCTCTTAAATAAACTCTGAAATTCAATAAGAACACATATGCATATATGGATATATATTGTGAATGTATGGGATTAAAAGGTATCTCTATCAATTCTGTTGGTGATCGTGGTTGCATTCTACTGTAGAGTTCTAATCGATTGACAAAGTAGTCGTCCAATATTCCCTATTTTTTCGGGTGATTTCAACTCGTAACTGAAACTTTATTCAAAATAAACAGTCAGGTAGTAGCAACTACAACAATCAACACGTTTCAAAACCTATGTTTTGGTATTCCACCGGTTGTAGCTTCTCACTAGAACTCCAAAAGTTCTCGAAGTTAGTCATTATTAGTGAACATACTTACTTACTTACGCCTGTTACTCCTCGTGAAGGAGCATAGGCCGCTCACCAGCGTTCTCCATCCAACCCTGTCCTGGGCAATCCTTTCTAGCTCCGTCCAGTTGTAATTCATCCTTTTCATATCTGCTTCTATTATCCGACGCAATGTGTTCTTTGGCCTTCCTCTTTTCCGCCTTCCTTCAGGATTCCAAGTTAGAGCTTGCCTCGTGATGCAGTTTGACGATTTGCGTAATGTATGTCCTATCCATTTCCATCGTCTTTTCCTAATTTCTTCTTCAGCTGGAAGTTGGTTTGTTCTCTCCCACAGAAGGCTGTTGCTGATGGTATCCGGCCAATAGATGTTGAGTATCTTGCGAAGACAGCTATTTATAAATACTTGTACTTTCTTGATTGTGGTTGTTGTAGTTCTCCAAGTTTCAGCTCCATACAGTAGAACTGCCTTGACGTTCGTATTGAAGATTCTCACTTTGATATTGGTTGAAAGTTGTTTTGAGTTCCATATGTTCTTCAATTGTAGGAATGCGACCCTTGCTTTGCCGATCCTCGCCTTTACGTCTGCATCTGAGCCTCCTTGTTCATCGATGATGCTTCCCAGATATGTGAAGGATTCTACATCTTCCAGGGTTTCGCCGTCAAGAGTGATTGGATTGCTGTTCTCCGCTTTGAATTTGAGGACCTTAGTTTTTCCTTTGTGTATGCTGAGGCCTACTGATGCAGAGACTGCTGCTACACTGGCTGTCTTCATCTACATCTGTTCGTGTGTACGTGATAGGAGGGCTAGGTCATCTGCGAAGTCCAAATCGTCTAATTGATTCTGAGCTGTCCATTGTATTCCGTGTTTTCCTTCAGATGTCGAGGTCTTCATAATCCAGTCGACCACCAGAAGAAAGAGGAAGGGAGAGAGTAAACAGCCTTGTCTGACTCCGGTCCTTACTTGGAATGCATCTGTCAGCTGTCCTCCATGCACTACTTTGCACTGTAGTCCGTCGTATGAGTTCTGGATTATATTGACAATCTTCTCAGGAATTCCGTAGTATCGAAGAAGTTTCCATAACGTCCTCCTGTCTACACTGTCGAATGCCTTTTCATAATCAATGAAGTTGATGTATAATGATGAGTTCCACTCAACTGATTGTTCGACGATGATCCGTAGTGTTGCAATTTGGTCTGTGCACGACCGATCCTTACGGAATCCAGCTTGTTGATCTCGAAGTTGGGCGTCTACTGCATCCTTCATCCGGTTCAGCAACACTCTGTTGAAGACTTTCCCTGGTATTGACAGTAGTGTTATGCCTCTGTAGTTTTCACATTTGCTCAGATCTCCTTTCTTTGGAATCTTGACGAGGTGTCCTTCTTTCCAGTCCATCGGCACTTGTTCCTCCTCCCAAATCTTTTTGAATAGAAGATAAAGCATGCTTGTGGTTGTTTCGATGTCTGATTTCAGTGCTTCAGCTGGTATGTTGTCGGGTCCTGCTGCTTTCCCGTTCTTGATTTGTCTGACGGCCATTCTAATTTCTTCCGTAGTTGGTGGATTGACATCTATAGGAAGATCTATGTGTGCTGCTTCGATGTCCACTGGATTCATTGGAGCCGGCCTATTCAGGAGTTCCTCGAAGTATTCTACCCATCTGTTACGTTGTTGTTGAATTTCGGTGATTGGCTTGCCTTCTTTGTCTTTGACCGGCCTCTCTGGTTTACTGTATTTCCCTGATAGTTTCCTCGTTGTATCGTAAAGCTGTTTCATGTTTCCTTCTCTAGCAGCTTTTTCTGCCGTCGTTGCTAGTTCTTCAACGTATTTCTTCTTGTCGGCTCTAATGCTCCTCTTCACTTGTTTGTTTGCTTCTATGTATTCAGCTTGTGCTTGGACTTTCTCTGCTCGTGTTCGGCTGTTGTTTATTGCTGCCTTCTTGTTCTTCCTTTCTTTGATCTTGTCCACTGTTTCTGTAGAGATCCATTCCTTATGATGGTATTTCTTTAGACCGAGAACCTCTTGACACGTTGAAGTTAATGCTTCCTTGATGCCTTTCCAGTTGTCCTCCATAGTAGTTTCTTCTTCTTTCAGTAGATCTCGTAAGGCTTGGAACCTGTTGTTGAGAGCTATCTTGAATTCATTGAGTTTGACAGTATCTCGAAGGAAGGCTGTATTGAACCTTTGTATTGCTGTTTGTCCACTTGTCCAGTTCTTTTTTAGCTTCAGTTTCAAATTGGCTACAACTAGGTGGTGATCTGAAGCTACGTCAGCACCTCTCCTGGTTCTCACATCTTCCATTGTCCTTCGGAATTTTTTGTTGATGCAAATATGATCTATTTGGTTCTCTGTAGTGTGGTCCGGTGAGATCCATGTAGCCTTGTGTATACGCTTGTGTGGAAATATTGTGCCTCCTATGACCAATTTGTTGAATGCACATAGATTTGCAAATCTTTCTCCATTTTCGTTTCTTTCTCCCAGTCCATGTCGTCCCATAATATCTTCATATCCAGTGTTGTCTATTCCGACTTTGGCATTTAGATCTCCCATTAGAATGGTGAGGTCCTTTTTTGGGCATTTCTCTATCACTGACTGCAGCCGCTCGTAGAACTGATCTTTAATTTCGTCGTTGCTATCATTGGTGGGTGCATAACATTGGATAATATTCATTAAGATCCCCTCCTTCTTTGTTTTGAATGATGCTTTGATGATTCTGGATCCGTGAGATTCCCATCCTACAAGTGCATTTCGTGCTACTTTGGACAGCATAAGAGCGACTCCCTGAGTGTGTGGAGCATTGTCCTCTTCGTGACCGGAGTATAGCAGCATCTCTCCCGTAGCTAGCCTTTTCTGTCCAGCTTGGGTCCAGTGGGTTTCGCTGATTCCCAGTACTGCTAAGTTGTATCTCCTCATTTCCATTGATATTTGACTGGTCTTCCCGGTTTCCCACATTGTTCGAACGTTCCATGTACCTATAAAAATTTTTGCTCTGGTTGTTAGAAGGGGCATCGGCCTCGTGGCTTCCGAAGGAACTCGGCTTTCACCATGAAGCGTCATAATTCTTCTAAATGAAGACCTTCTAACTCCCAGGGCAGAGTTAAAATGGTTTGGATTATTTTTTCTGGTAAGCGTTTTTTTAGCGAGTTAGTTTTCTACGGGATGGGGACGCTAACCCCATGCCCAACCCTCCTCCTTTACCCGGGCTTGGGACCGGCAGCAACCCTATAAAAGCTACAGGCGGAGTTATTAGTGAACATGCGATGATGATTATGGTGATGTGAATACTTCAACATATTTATCGGCAATATAATTGCAAACTTTTAAGTTTAAACATACTTTAAAGTAGGATCAAATTAAAATTTGGTATATCTCTCAAACTATCCAACTAAAATTTATACGAATATTCGTCAAGATTAGAACGAATAGTTTGACAGTAATTGAGCGCCGAGTATAGAGAAGTCATTATATGTGAAAATTATATTTGAAATATCCAACTAAAAGTTACATACATATATCATGTATTTCTAAAATGGCCTAGTCTAGATATATGTAGATATACAATAATTTTTTATCTGTTTATTACGTAGAGAAGACAATTTGACATGGAACAACATTTCACTGAAGATGCTCTTGAAACAGCTTTCAGATGGATGAGTAACCTGCATTCGTATTATGCATTCAAATCATGATACCTTGAGACATTGTCATTCAACATCGCTGTGATATATATGCTCGTGTGATTATTATTATTATCATTATTATTATTATTATTATTATTATTATTATTATTATTATTATTATTATTATTATTATTATTATTATTATTAGAAAATTTCACCCATTAGTAACAGTCATTGTCAGCTTATTGGATAAAACAATCAACAATATTTTAATTTGTAATAAATATGAATATTTTTTTATATTTTTATGTATATCTTAGCACAATGCATATGAATTATTATTACTATTATGATTATTATCTCTCCGCCTTCATATGTTTGCTCATAATAATGCATTTTGGAGTCATAACAATAGTAGTGACAATAATACTTGACATGACCCTGACTTACGTCACATCACAGCGTTCAATATATTAACTGAACAACAATTTGTGTTATTTCTTTTACTTCTCTGAAATTCTTGTATAATATTCATTCATAGCTTTGCCTTTTGTCTTATTGATGAAAAAAATGTCATATCATTGTAAAATGAAACAATTTCACCCTTTTCTCCGTTGTACTCGATTAAGTTTGTATTAAATTTAAACAGTTATCTGTGATTCTTGTAATTTTTAAAATCGATTGACTAAAATTTTACATAAAAATCATTCGTCAACTACAATAAATCGTCAGTGATATTCTAATGATCAGTGTGGGTTTGTGGAGATTGCTAAGCTTTTGATTGAGATCATGAATTAATGAATGTTAGACCACCATTAAAAACCTGGAAGCACTGGACGGCCGTTTCGTCCTAGTATGGAACTTGAAATAAGAATGCACAATTAGTACTCTATATGTATAATATTTTGCACAAAATAGTATTAATTGGTATAAAGCGATTCATTATCAAGTCGGTAATTAGTTTCTGTGCTATATTATCAAACATAGGCCATTATTTGTCTGTTGTCAGTCTGTGAAATCAAAAAAGTTCAGAAATCCTGATGATGCGTTCCACTAAAGTAGGTAAACAGTCTATCGCATTGCTATACAACCACAATCTTTCAGTTATATTCATCCCATTGAGCGCATTATCAGCAAGTAAAGAAATTTGTATTCTACGACAAAGAGCTTCAATACTGTCGCCCGAAGAGATATGACCGTGATGCATTTCTGATTTTATATATTTATTTTGTCCATGCCCTTGAAAACCAGAAAAGTTTTCCATGTTGAAAGGTTAAACAATCGATAAAGGGACAGCTAAAGCCATTGCGAGGGGTTGCGAATACGGATTTCTGGTTTATACCAGACTCGGCTCATAAACGTTTAGAGTTAATTTGTAAAATAGTAGAAAATAGAGATGCTAGGGGTCATCATAATTTCATATGATTAGTAGAAATTTTCGATGCATATTTATCATTGATTATGTGAATATGTGAGACCAGTTTCCAGTTCAACTTGCAAATTTTTTCAACATATCACTTTCATTTATTCTACGTGTTGTATTGTCAAAGGACCAATAATCAGATTGTATATAATGATACATTATTTAATAAATGAAAGAGAACGCTTTTCCGAGAATAGATAAACTTCGTGGCAATCAAAAATCGAAATATATTTCTGACAAAATTCTACAGTTTGCATCAGGAAATGACATCATCTGATGAACTATGTAAAACGAAGTATTAGACAGACTACTGTATGTTGTCGTAATTGTAAACTTTACATCAGTGCACAATCATAACCACACATGAAACCTAATTCAGGGTCGTCAGATCTCGTGATGAGAATTGAGTTGCGACCCAATAATCCATTTTTTAAAATTTCATTATTCAGTGCCATTGTTATCACGTGTCTCAGTATGGTTGCATTCCAGCCGGTTGGAAATATAGTTATTGACAATCCTTAATTTGAAGGATTTATCTTTACAAATTGAAAATGGCGAAGCTTCAGTACCAGATATTTTAAAATAATGACAAAGAATTTCAAGGATTCTGTGTTCTTTCTTCAATTCGAAGAACATATCTTCAGAATCAGTCGTTTGGCAATTTATTATCACATGTATACTCTAGTATGGAATCGACAATTTAAACAGAAAAACTATTTAGCATTTTTAAACATCTGAATAATTGAGAGTAGTGCAATTAAGGACGTGCTTCGTCTTGTATAGGACGCTCCAGGTGAATGCACTTGCACCCAATGTTGATGTCCATATTGAGACTCGAACTCAGTACCCTTAAACTCCCAACTCGCCATTTATTTAGCTAGTGAGTTCAGACAACCACTGGATTACACAACGGAGGTACATTTTAATTCATTGTGTAGGTTTTTTTTTCAATCTTCTGTTTTTGATGTTAGGAACTGATGGTGATCAATTGCCTCAATACTTATTTCAAATTACAAGTATTTTTTAAGCAGAGTTAGATAATGCCTCGTAACTGAATGACAATATCAAGGTTGTTGGCATAGGATGCACATATGCAAAAAAAAATGAAAATTTCCAAACCCATCATCAACAACAGTGAAATTCAAACAGCTCTTACAAATAAACTATCTGGCTGTTTGTCTTAACTATAAAATGACATTTTATTTATTTTAATTTTTGATGACGTTGAAATAATGTAATACAGGATAATGTTGTTTATGCCATATTGGGATGATATTTGAATGTTGATATTGGTTTAACATGTTAACATTCTAGCAACAAGTTTAACTTCAATATTTACTGTGTTACTGAGAATAGTAACACATAATCAGCTGGGATATTCACTAACAATAGCAATAAGCACATAAATAGTGATACAACTGGGCACCAAGATAAATATTTCCTTTTGTAGATAAAAATGGCATTTCGAAGAGATAGATGAAGGAGAGGGGAGTATATTCAAAGTGAATAAATGTGTGAGGAAGTAAATGAGTGAGATTAGTTCATAGTAGGAGCGACACTTTAATCGGAAAAACAACCAGTAAAGATTTCAATCAAATGAGTTGCTTCCACTTGTATGAAGGATGTATAAGAAAACTACGGCAAGATTACCATTGCCTTCTATTCAAAACCTTATCTGATAATATCTCAATCCACTAAGTTGCACCATCTCTAAGACCTCTTCCGAGCTCACAGGTACCAGTTCTGTACAAATTTCCTTCATGCCACGGCACCATGTCGTAAACTCCACTTTTTCCAACCACTCTTGGAGTCGGCAGGTAGAGTCTCCGTGTCGAAATTCTCAGGACAGGTCCAAGTTACCGAAGGCGGTGTTTGAAGATGATGCACTAAACGAGCTACCATCACTGTTCACGAATACATAGTGCCGAACCTCCACATTATTGACATGACGTTTAGACTCGATGTCAACACTCACTAAGCGACGGATAATTGAGCGCTGAGTTCACGAACATCCTGAACTCCGAGACCCTAGGTTTCACAGACAGACTGACATTACGACGTCATCAAAGATGGTGTAGACTGGGATAAGTCATTCTGGCTTTCACTACACGTAAATTGGTATCATCACTCATGCCACCACTAGCACTTACATAGCTACACAGAAACACGAACTTCTCGACTACTGATGGTTCACTACAGAAAGTGTATGCGAGCTGAGGCTCTTGGCGGTGTTTTAAAACCACTTAACACTTAAAAGATGCAAAGTACGTGCTATTACCTACGAACATTGATTCCCAACTGATTAAGTACGATTTCCGTAGCTTGAGTTTCACAGTACAGTAAGACTGTCTTCAGAGTACTTAATATCGAAAATTCTTTCTCTACGTGATGGATCCACACCACCATTCCATACTTCAATCAGAGCTATTTGTAGGATATCGTCGATAACAAAGTCGGAAAGGAATGGTGAGATTGGGCGAACCTGCCTAACCATGAAGACTGATTATAATCCAATCGACGACTTTCATTATTTGATAACATCTTAATATTTAAAAGTAATAAGAGTTAATACTACTGAAAAGCATCTGTGTTATCTTCCTTAATCTGACCTGTCTATTCTGGTTCATGAAGGCTCTTAGAGAAGATCTCAGTATTATCTATACTTACACGGTCCTTATATTTTTGGTTAGTAGCTAACAGTTAAATATAGGATGCTTATTCCGTCTAAATTAGAAATCAAACATCACTTGAATGTAACTGTATCGCAGTGTTAATATTCATATTTTGAACCAAACTCAATATATTTTATTTTCAAATACTAACACATACTCAAGTAAACCAATGAATTACTAATTTGTCCAATGGATATGATATACGTTGTTATTTGGTAACAGTTTTTTTTTTCTTGAACTCTTCTGTTTGACCTTTGGAAATCTCTATTAAATGATAGATTTTCATGAATTATATACAATTCCTAACAGTAATAATGACATTACATTAGAAAAAAATATATATAAGAACTATTCAGCAAGACATTCTAAAATCTTTTTCACCATTATAAGATAAAAACTACAACCATCTACATTTATTTCAGAATAATATGTCTTAACGAAATGTCGAAAAAAAATAATCTCATCCATAATTTTTTTTATTCTCTGAAGAAGTGACTTACGCTAAGTCACGAAACGTCAGAAAATTTGATTTTTCTCCTCATTGGGTTATTACAAATATACTATTTATTTATAACATGATTTAATCTGTTCATTTCTTCTTTTCATTTTGTCTCTTTCTTTATATCCGTTGTTTCCAATTAAATACTGATTTGATTCTTTTCACTTCAAATGTATTGAATGCACCAGGAATTGGAAATATTAAACAATTTTCAGTGTTTTTATTTGTATTATGAATTACTTCAACAATTGATTGTTTATTATCAGATTCATGTTTATCTTTTATGAAGAGTTGATCACCATCATCATTATCATTTGATATTTTAGGCAACAATGAACAAATTGTTTGATCAGGCCAATTTGATTCAAGTAATTTGATTGATTTTTCTATATTAATCAGATTTTGATATTCAGGAATGTTTCGGTCATACAATTCACCATATTGATGAATTGAAATATTTCGCTTAAAATGATGGGAAAAAGTATCTAAGATTTATGAAAAGAATTACAAAGATGTGATCGAAAAAAAATCAACCATACTGTCAAATCATCCAAATGTTTGCTATTATAAAATGGAGAGTATTTCAGGGACTAAACTTTCAATGAAGTAAACATGATCAAGAAAAATCGTAAAGGTGGACAAACAACATATGTACAACGGAATATAATATCGAAACGTTTCAGTTCATAACTACTCTACATCTATGATTAATGATTCTAAAGCCTGCAAAAACAATTTTAAGAAAGAAAGTTCACTTCAATTTAAATAATATTACTCCACACTGTTATACGATAGTTTCAGTTAATAATCAAGAAATTATAACTGCACAATGAATGTAATTTAGTACGACCAAAGTCCAAGGTTGTCCATAGTATTGATTACTCAGACCTTCCTAGTAATGATATAAATATCATACCTGATTCACAAATGAGCAGCTATCTGTACTAACTAGCCAAGTGGTTAACACATTAGTTATTGAAGTAAAAGGTAATGGATTTGAGTTTCTATGGGAATATTAGAACTGGGATTCAAGCGCGTCCACCCGACCATTCCTAAATAAATCGTACTACAAACCACAATCTGTCTCTTTAATATAAATGATAGAAATTTAGTATTGAGAAATGACACTATTTTAAGATAGTAGTAAATGCAATTACTTTAATAACTGTTTTACTTTGATTCACTTTCACTATCTATGTGCCTCTTATTTTTAACTAGGTCTATACGAAGTCCTGAATTTTAATAATCAAGGATCGAATCAAAAGATATCGGTCAATGATGGGCACTGCGTCATGAATTCTTCGAAGCTTTAAGATGTTAATTATTATGATTCCAGCTTATTAATTCAATAGTATCGTCTTTGTTGTGTGATATAAAGTTCTTACTTGTTGTGAAGACGTGTGGTCATCAAAATCTGACTAATGATTGTAGATTTTCAGCAACTTTACAGTTGCTATAGAATAAGAATGAAATCGATCTATAGATCATTCAAATTTTCAGCCACAAAACAGATTAATTCAGTTCATTCCGACGAAACATCTATCACTGTTATTTACTAAGCAGACGTCTACCGTCTACCTAGTATTAAGATTACATTTTGGGTACACAAATAATCATCTAATACATACTTAGTTAAGATAGGATGACCGTACCTACAGAGAATTCGTGCATACTTTTGAGCATCATGGTTTATTTGAAAGACTGAACTTAGATAACCATTGAAAACCTGAAAGTACTGGACAGCTGTTTTATCTTAGTAAGAACTTCTTAATAGTGAGTATCCACAACTCTGCCACCTTGGACCGAACGCAGGTCCTTCGAGTCCTTCGACAAGAGCTGAGTTAAAACCCTAAGGTTTGCACTTCAAACATCAATTATTTCGCAATATTGTACAACTACCTTCCTATGCTATTGGTGGGTAACTACCTCACACCAGATATGGTTGAACTCCATTGGTCACAGATTCTCATTGGAAAATTTCCTCCTGAAGTTAACCACTAGTGAGTGAGTGATTATTATTAAACCAGGGCGTTTGTGGAAGTTAAGCTCTCACTGCGAAATCTGAAAGTCCCGAGATTGCTCATCAGTCGGGTCGTCGTTATTTACCTTTGGGAAGTCCCATGATAGGATTTAACATCTTTCTATCGCATTGTGGTTTCCAATGGTTGTCTAACTACGATAAGTCTTTGATGCAAACTGTGTAAGACAGAGTAATTTTTAGTAAATTGAATTATATAAAAATACCTAGCCAATATATCACTGTAGCAATAAATCTGGAAGCATACCAAATCCTTGATTTGTTTATCAATACCTCCAGATTTTGAAACCATTTTTAAGAACAATCTTCGGTTGTCAGGCAAACAGATTGCATAATGGAATGCGGTACGTCCAAGACAATCTTGATAATTGACAAGTTCTTGACACAGTTCAATTAACTGAAGAACAAAATCTGTTCTACGATAAAGTACTGCAAGGTGTAGTAGAGAACGTTCTCTCCAGTCACGACCTAGAAGATAGATAAATAACATAATAATATATCGTATTAAATCTCTATATGTTTAGTTATTTATACAATATAAACACATAAGATATGTAAAATGACTACCTTATATTAGGTGCACTGATGAAGCTTCAAATCAGGAGAAAGTGTGTTGATCATAGATTTTGAATTAAAAATCTTTGTATCATTAGACTAGCTTTTCACCAAACCAACCACTAAACTTAACTTCTGGTCAAGTTCCAATAGTAGTTCATGTATTAAATGACAGTTTTTCACCCAGAGCTGTTCCAAGTAATCTCATTAATATTCACAACAGAAACATATGTAGTTAACATATGCTGAGTGCCTTGTAGACAGTTTTAAAACTTGAATTCTATCCAGAAATTCTCCAGGTAGATATTTGTACTAAGACTAAATGCTCAGAATGAATGAGATAGCAGGCCGAACGTACTCTCTTTCAAAGTATCACACTTAACATAATGCTGATGAGTTGTAAATTAGGACTAAATAGTACTGCACTGCCTTGCTAATGATTAACCAGCTGAAGTCTATTCGTGGTTAAAATTATATTTTGTTCAGGAATTAATGAGATTTAAGTAATGGCTATTGGATTCTTGTATGAAATTCAAAACGCGATGATGGATAACTTGGTGTGAGGAAAACCACCCTTTTCTAGTGTTCAATAACAGTGAGATATCTAGCATTTTAGATCATTTCCTCGTTCACTTAGTGGGTCACTGCTGCATATCTAAGTGTAATTTTCATTGGCAACTTCATTGATATAATCTAAAATTATCTTCATTTTTCTTTTATCCACAAAATACTATTGAGGATCCCAATTTGGCTGATGAAAAAAGCAAATAAAATTAAAGTTGGGGCCTGAAATGAAATAATCAGTGAAAATCATGCTCCTACATATAGCATGCACTCAAGAAATAAACGGAAAAACGGTAGATACTGCACACTTATTGAACATTCGAAAGTAGATACGCTACGAATTTACGGGCATGTATCCTATTTTGTAGCTTGTATCGAATCAAAAGCTAATAATTACCAATAGTTATCTAGTCATTAAATCCTAACCCTATGATCTTTCAGGTTTTAATATAGGAAATTATTCATTTATACCACATGTTTTCCAAATGGCTAAAAAATAGACTTTACTTTTCCTATGTTGATTTTAACATGATTGAAGTTCGTAAGTAAAGTATACTTTAATCCTATTTGTGACACGAATATCACTTTCAATATGGTGAGTTCTTTTTCACAAATAAAACCAACTGTTTATACAGTCATAATTGTTCTTTTTTTTTAATCTATAATATACATAATATCACATTTTGTGTTTTATGTTCATCAAACAAGTTTGGACAAGTAATAATCGGCGATTATTGAATGAACCATTAAAATATCATATCTATAACGCATATACTTTGTGATATGATAAATAGATATTAACTTACAATCCAAAAATTTATTGATTGCTTTAGATTACCAAGATATCGTTTTGTGACACAAACATAAACACGAGCTAAATACATGTGTACTTTGTTTAGTAAAAGAAAAAACACACATCTGTATCCACTTTACATTCAAGATTATCAGTAAAGTTAGATAGTGGCTATCAGTGGAATTCAAGTCACACGTTGTGTCCTGTTTTGGATTCATCAACTGAATGGACATCGATCCTAGTATTAATATTCTCACTGTGACTCCGACCCAGTAGGTAGATAAAGCCGACGAGCACTACATAGAGCCAAACAAAAACAGCCAACTATAATCAAATTTTACTAAATCTTGTGACTAAATGTCAAGTCAATGAGCATAGAATGCACATATGCCACTAGATCATGATCAACAATAGTTCATAATATCAACAACGGGAAGATTTAAATACTTACAAATATTAAAAATGTTTTGCTACTAATCTATGGAGAAACAAGTTGGAGAAAGGAGATAGAGTTGTAATATGATGGTAAGTTTACTTAATACTAGAAGAAACTAGACGATTTTTGAGCTATTGAATATTCAGAAATCGAAGTATAACTTTTCAGAATATATCTTTAATCTCACTATACATTAGAATGCATTTAACTGAAGTTTGGAAAATTTCTGTTGCAACTACGCCTACATCGATTTTCTATGAGATAAGATAAACCATTGATTGTTTTTATCAAGTATCTCATTTGGTCACTGTTCATATATTATTCCAATACACGTGGCCACTTGCTTGAGCAAGATCGAACAAATATCTATATTAGAAAATGAGGTCAAAATTTTAATTGAAGCATTGGTAACGTATGGATATCTATAAAAAATTATTAGCTGGTATGAAGGCGATGACATTCATGTTAAATGGTTTTCATAGTAAAATAAACTTAAACTACATTTATCTTGGCCCACTGTTGAGCAAATGTCGAAAACTGATCATAGAATTTATCTAAAAACGACCTTTATAGTAGTGTGCTGAACTAGTCAAGGTCTCTAATAATTATTGACTATAAATGCACCTATATTAGATCTGTCCTACGAATATTGAATTATACTTTATTATCTAGAACAGTATGGGATAATATTGTTACTGAACTTATAAACTGGCCTAAGTCATACAGTTACTTAAACGTTAGGGCACACTAGACAGCTTCGTCCTAGTATGAGACATCTCAACAATGCGTATTCACAACCTCGCTTTTGGGGATCAAACCTAGGAACTTCAGGTCTTTTAGTGAGAGCTTAACGTTTGGAACACTGAAATGGTATGCAAAGGTTTTCATTTCTAACTTTAATTAATCAGAGATATTCCACAACAATCTTCCATTATTTCACATCCGAAATGGCTGAACTCCACTGGTCATGACTTCTCATTAGAACTCTCTAAATTATCTGATGACACCAGTCACTAGTAAAGACATAATAATTATCAGTATCGAGGTTCGTAAACTGTTGATACAAGATCATTGGTCTAAAGATTAACCTCTCACAGTGAGACCTGAAGTTTCCGGCTTGAAACTACAAAAGGGTTGTGAATGCCCACTTATGAGAAATCTGAAACTAAGACGGAACATCAATCTAATGCTTCTTGGTTTTCAATAGTAGGCTAGCTCGGGACAGTTAATAACCTCAAAAACACTTATCGATCTCCAAAAGCCTTGATACTGATTATAATTCTCTCTATTTTCTTTATTTTTCATATAATTCACAATGACTTAATTGGATCTCCATTTTTAACTTTCATATGATTATATGGTATTTAAGGCATACTACCTAGAATGACAATGTATAGATAAATTTTTATATCCACAATTATCATTCGATCACCAAACATATACTACATTTGACTTATTGAGGTCTTTTTGCGAAAATTAAGTGAATTTGTTGGTGATATTCGTCGTGAAACGATCTCATTAGGAGTACCAATGAAAGTTATTGTCACCCTAAAGCATGAATTAATTGAAGTTGGGAATATGTATTACTGGTAGCTATATTAACACTTAACTGAATAGTTTACTGCTGTTAGTTCAAGTTGAAGAGCACGACTTTGGATGGAAAATCATTAAATGTGAAAAATCCACTTGCATATTTACTCAATGAATTAAGTTGCATTTATATTGTTTCTTGTATTCAGAGAAGGTTTTGGTTCGCCTTCTTAGTTGTCAGTGGAGTTTTTCCTGAACATTGTCGAGTATTGTGTAGTATAGAAACAGCCGGATAGCACATGTATGTGGTTAGTTAAATCTTACCAAGGGGTCGGAAGCTGATGTATAGTGATGAGTTCCATTCAATCGACTATTCAACGATGATCCGTAATGTCGTGATTTGGTCTGTGCACAACTGATCCATACGGAATCCAGTCTATTGATCTTGAAGTTGGGAGTCTAGTGAATCTTTCATCCGGTTCAACCATACTCTGTAGAAGACTCTCACATTTGCTCAGATTTCATTTCTTTGGTATCTTGATGAGGTGTCCTTCTTCCCAGTCTGTCTGTGGCACTTGTTCTTCTTCCCAAATCTTTCTGAATAGAATGTGGAGCATGTTTTCAGTTATTTCTCTGTGTGGCTTCAGTGCTTAAGGTGGTACATTGTCAGGTTCTACTGTTTTCCCACTCTTGATTTATCTAATGGCCATCCTGATTTCGTTGATCGTTAGTGGAGTGACAGCTTTAGGAAGGTCTGTGTGCTGCTTTGATGTCCAATAGACTCAGTGGGCCTGGTCCACTCAAGGTTACTCCGCCCAGGGTATCGATTTAGATCCATTCCTTATGATTATGATTCTTATTGCCCAGCATCTCCTGGCACAATAAAGTTAGTACTTCTTTAATCCCTTTCCAGTCGTTCTTCATGGTGGTTTCGCCTTTTGTGAATAGATCTGGTAAAGCTTGGAACCTGTTGTTGATAGTTATCTTGAATTCGTTGAGTTTGTCAGTATCTCAAAGGAATACTCTATTATACATTGGCAGCGCCGTTTCTCCAGTTGTCCAGTGTTTCTTTACCTTCAGTTTCATCTTGACCACAGCCTGGTGGTGATCTGGATCTGTGTTAGTTTCCCTTTCCGTTCTCACGTTTTATATTGACCTTCTGAACTTCTGACTGATGCAAACATGGTCGGTCTGGTACACTGTAATGTGATCCGGTGAAATCCGTACGGTTTTGTGCACGTGATTGTGGAGGAATATTGGACCACTTGTAAGCATTTTGTTGAAGGCACGTAGATTGGCAAATCTCTGACCATTCTCGTTCCTTTCTCACAATATATGTCATCTCATATCACCTTCATACATTGTGTTGTCCATCCCGACTTTGGTGTTTAAGTCTTCCATCAGGATGGTCAGGTCCTTTTGATTCAGTATGATGATCCTTAGTGTAAACTATTTGTTTTGGTATTACATTCACACAAAATAAGTTGTAATTGGTCAGTGAGTAAAGAGAGACAACTAGACATTTCACATAAAATCGTTTGATTAATACTGTAAACGAATTCTTCCAAATTCTTTTATAACACTTTTATATTGGCATCTGGTTCTTAATAAAATAGCCAGACAAGTGTAGCTGTAGTCGTGTAAAGATTTAGTCAATACTCAAGATAGATCAATTGTATTGCCAATTCGATTAACATCACAGATTACAATTTCTACATGGAATTGTCTATTTTAAAATTATTAAGAAGAACAATAATACTACTTACCCATAATAACTCTTTTGTTATTAACCAGACGTAGGAATTGATGATAATCTCCAGTTATAATCGTCTTGTGAACCTCCATCATTTCTGTTCTATACTGATCAACAGTATCTAATAAAGATATCATTTCATGATGTCCTTTTTGTTCAGCTAATAATCTAGCAGATTTAAAGCGTACAGGTCCAGAATTAGCTAAATGTATATAATTATATCCATAGAGAATTAATTCTTCCATGGATTGTAAGTGATTGCCAGAAGCTAGAAAAGCTACATGGCGATCAATTAACTGTTCAGCAGTTAATAAATTTCCAGTTTCTGGATCGATAATATCATGAAGTTCGAAAGGATCTGGTGGCTGTAAATGTAATGGGAAAAAAGTAGAAACATAAAACAAGTTTCTGAAGAAATAAGATATCAGTAATAAGAAGGCAAGTAAAAATCTATAAAATCTTATAATCTCCTATAGTCGTTGTTTAGGATTACAGTCCTAATCAGTTTATATTAGCATAGATTGCTTACTGAACAGATTGCCTTGATAGTGTGATTTAGTCACATGTTTTAGTATAATTGGACTAATAATAATAATAATAATAATAATAATAATAATAATAATAATAATAATAATACCAAAAGTCGGTTTATCCAGTATAATGTACAATATCTTGACAAGTTCATCATACTATTCGTAGACGTCACAAGATATACATGATTTTATAAGGGTAGGGTGACTTATAGAGATGGTAAGATCTTAAGTTTAAATCACTAACTTATTTAAGTTAAACCACCATCGATAATCAGCAAGCACTGGGTGGTAATTATACTCAAGTATGGGATGTTTCAACAGTGATCACCCATAACCCCTCAACAGGAGATCAAACTCAAGACTTCTGTTCTCTCACTAGAATGCTTAACTTCTTGATCAATGAGCTGGAATCTAACGGTGTTAACATACATAACTTTCACCCATTACCTGGGGTGGATAACCACCTCACGCGAAATGGTTAAACTCTAGTGGCCGCTGCCTCTTCTAAGACTTCGGGGGTTGCGTCTTAAGGCCAGCAGGTCCGATTCCCGGACGCGTGGTCGCGGATCCGCACTTCTAAGGAGTTCCATACTGGAACGAAACAATTATCCAGGGCATCTAGGTTTTCAGTGGTAGAATATATATATATAGTATGGAACGATAGATATAACTAATTTACCAATACGTGAATTGTTTTAAAAGATTTTTTGTTCAAAATTTGCGTACCTCTTCTTCGAATGGTCTGAAATTCTCTCCCGTTTCACAATGAACATTGTTGTTATCCAGTAATCCATATCTTGATCTATTCAAAATATCTCGTGCAGTACGTTGCCAAATATCTCTATGATAAATTTTCACACCTCGTTTCAATATTGTAGATAAAATCAAACTTGCCCATCGAAATCCATTTACATCTTTCGGATGTATTGTATGAAAAAGATTTGTTGCATAATGAAATAAAGATGATCCATTTGAATCTCTTAAATGAACTGGTACTTCTTTGATTACTTCATAAGTATGTTGAAGGCTGACAAGGTTCTTAAAACTCCAAAATGCAACCGGACCAAACGGTTCTTTTTCTGAATTAAAATCAGATTGATCAACAAATATTGTCTATAAAAAGTTTACTTTTATTTCTTGAAAAATGCATAAAAGCGTAACGACCATTTTAACATGCGAAAAAACATTTTAATGTTTAAGCAATACAAAGACGATTATGTCTATTTTGTAATATTCTCCGAGAAAATTAATTTACTGAAATTAAAGCATAAAACGTGAACTGTTGGATTCAGATTAGGAGGTTAAAAGATACCATATTTACCGTGAATTACGAAAATCCTGTTCTCAATCTAACTATGAGTAAACACTGCTATGGAGCTGCAAATTAAAATAAAGACAACTGTTCATTACTTCCTAATTGTTAGTCGTTCGTTTTTGGTTTGGACATTATTTCGTTGATTATACCACGTTTCAATCCCCTTTTTATGATGTCGGAATAATAGTTTAGTTTTTCGAGAAATCGATTTTCAACAATTACGTCTCAGGTTCTCATACAACGGAGAATTAAACACTTTATGTTTACTATGACATACTATCATTATTTGACTATGCGACTGTTGACCGAGATTATACTACCATTAGGCAGTGATACTAGTTACAATAGTATTTCCTTGATAAATGAATCTGAATAGATCTCTCTCCGGAAAACATCATTCCAGAAATTTTGATTTTACGACCCTTATGAATTACTATAATAAATCACTTATAAATTAAACAAATTACGACAAAACCTTTCCACCAAAGAGTAATTTCGTATCTACTGTTGATGTACTTCGAAACGAATTTTCAAGGCTCTGGTGGAAATTTGTGACTAAAGTTCAAACATGTTAAGAATCACCACCGACCATAACAAACAGTTGTCTTATACTGTAAATTAACTGGATTTTAAACTGTAGACAATTGGACACCAATTTAATAGTATAAAAGTTGATAACTCATAGTGAGACCTGTAGGCTTTTGATTCACTCCTTAGACAGATCAACAAAGCGCACCGTTAAATATTCGGTTTTAAGGGAAGGAACATATACAGTGCTTGGTAACCAGAATGTTTTAAATCCATGACAAAAACCACCTACAAAATATTGTTACAACAAATCAGGTTTAATGAAATGTGATGGATACAGACGAATGAAACCGTTGATCGTAACTATAGTCAACAGACAATTTTCTTTAGGAAAACATTTTACTATTACATACACATAGTTCCCTTTATCATTTTGAAAAGAGCAAGAACAAACATTTTACTATTAGACTATCTATTTCACCTTGAACAAAGAATAGTCTTCATAATCAGTTTGTGAATTTTTAACATTAACACAATTAATTTTCCTAGCGTTGTCAATCCATTTACGCCTTATTCCAATTCATATTGAATAAAATCTTATAGAAACAAATAATTAGAATTTTTAGATTAAATATTATTAACCTAACTTACAATTATATGGACATAATAATTAACATAGGGAAACTTTACTTATAGTCAAAACGGAGTTGATAATTACCAAACTAATTTGTAATCTTATTTTGTTTAGCTGAATGGTTCAGTTTGAAAACAGTACTCATCATGAACTGACATCCTTGAGACAACCAACGAAAACCAGGAAGCACTGAACGGCTACTTCTGACTACTAATGATCAACTTCAAATTTCACTCCCATGTGTACAGTAAGAAGTCATAAGTGATGTAATTCAATTATACTGATATTATGACAGTTATCACATGTAGCGTTATTAGATGACTTTTTACCCTAAACTTGGAATTAGGAACAGTTTAAGTTTGACTCAATGGCATCTCCCTATTGTGATAACTAACTGACTATACGATCCCAAGTTTAAAACTATATCGTGTAGAGGATTATGGACGGATCATGACTTCCAAATTAATACAAAACTATGTACAAGCTTTTTTCTATAAAATAAACTTACAAATTAATTCATAATTTATCATAAACTAACCTGAATAGTATTCGTTTAAATTTGCTCCAGAATGAATCATAAGTTGTAATACTTCTGCTGTAGAATATTCCATTACACTAACAAGTAATGGACGTGTTATAAAATTTGCTCTTCCATTATTATTAATACCAACTAGAAACTTTTGCATATGAAGTTGAGCTTTCAATTGACCTTTACCCATAGCTTTACGTCGGAAAATAAATAAGATAAAAATGAGATCAAGTCTGCAAGTATAAATTATTTTAATTTTATATATTTGCAAAATTATTTGATTTATTTCAGGTAAAATAAACAAGGTAAATCACCATACCAATAACTTATAACCGTCAGTTGACAGTTATTCTGTTAGATAACTATGATTCACGGTTCGTCGAGCAATATTAGCAAATAACGAAAACTGTCCTCGAAATGAAGAAATCTCTATAAACAGTCATTCAAACATTCCTGTTGTGTTCTACAATCTGATTTAGTCACAATATACGCTTGCTTAACCGACTATGTAAACCTTGAACAAATGAATAGTCCTATCACTTTCAGTAACCTCTCACATTTCACGCTTACTAAGCACTCTTGAAACAGCATGTCATCTTCCCGATTTTCTAACAGGCGATCTATTAGAACTCATACGGGATATCATATATTATCCTTTGCTAATAATTACTGTCAAGCTTTGAAATGGATTTTTCAAATTTCAAGAAAGGACTGCGTTGAAAGTATCTGAAAATGAGTTATAAGAATCTTTACACAATCGATTGACAGCTTGTTCCAATAACCTGAAATTTGATTGGCTTTGGTACAAAATTGATCATTCTTTTTTTCTCTGATACTTCAAACCAAGCCTATAACCAATCAAATTGCAAAACAACGGGACAAGCTGTTATTCGCTTGTGAAGGAATTCTAAGGGTACATTTCTTTTCGAAATATGTGCTGATGTTATTGTCTAGATCGGTAATGAAAGCTTCAAAGAATACAATACTTCCAAAATATATGTGTAAACCTTAAATGAATGAATATGAAATATACCTACCTAAACATTGTTTCAATTTCTGAATATCACCAGCCATAGAATAAATCACAAAATCAGTTAAACTAACATAATACTGTAATAGATTTGTTAATTTTTCACGTATTCCTTCTATCCATTGATTGGATCGATCATGAGTCCATAATGAGTTAATCCATTCTATAACAGTTAGCCCTGATCGTTTAGCTTTTAACCAAATTAAATTATCTTTAATTGTGTTCTCTAATTCTGCGCAGAAATAGTTAATAATATCATTGGGTTTATGATATTGTACACTATAGATTAATCTATCAACAACTGGCCAAATTCCCGGATGATCTATCAGTCCTTTAGAACGTTTTATACTAGTTTTTAATAAACTTGATCGAATATTTCGTTTAATTGTATATGCACCTTTGGGAATATAATTTTCATTATATACAGAATAACCATTTTTACATGGAATGGAGCAATCTGAACCTGGTATAATGTTTTTTAAACAAAATTATGGAAATAAAATTACTATTATTATCATCATTATCATTACGAGGATTAAAGATTCTATAGAGATTATCCAATTGGAAGATAATTCACATAAATGAATAATTTTAAACAGAATATCTTATGAGAATCAGGGATCACCGGAAGCATCCATTTTGACCTTGTACGGGACTAATCAGGAGTAACTATCCACGACCACCCTAGGTGTGAATGGTCACTCAAATATCCCTGATATTTAAATATGTTATATAGTGTACGAAACTAATTCCTGTAAGACAGCTTTAAATATATTTTATAAATGAAAAGCAGTAAATTAAAGAGAATTACCAGAATAACATTCATGGTCTCATACCTTACTACTAAGATTTACTTATTCTTAACTAATGGATCATAGGTACATACATGTACGTATGTTCGCAAATATATCAACTCTGTTCTTATCTACACCTTTTTAAGAATTTATCAAATAACAATTTTCAGTTTTAGGTGTTGTGGAGATTGTTAAGTTTTTGATTGAAATCATGAGTCCATTGAAGCTAGATCACCATGGAAAACCTGGAAGCACTGGATTTCAATCAAAAAGTTTACAATCTCCACAACACCTAAAACTGATAATTAAATTATGCTCACTAGTGACTAGCTTCGTGAGAAAATTCTCGGAGTTCTGGTGAGAAGCCGTGACCAGCGGAGCTAATCCGTGTCGAGAAGAAACAGGTGTCTACCTCAATACAATGGAAGATGGTCGTGCACTTTTGTGGATTGGTTGAAGTTAGACATTAACACGATTGGATGCCGGCTCAGTGGTCTAGTTGGTTAGGCGCATGGCGCGAGACTGATAGGTCCTGGGTTCGAATCTCACGGGAGGCGGGATCGTGGATGCGCACTGCTGAGGAGTCCCGTGCTGGGACGAAATGTTCATCCAGTGCTTCCAGGTTTTCCATGGTGGTCTAGCTTCAATGGACTCATGATTTCAATCAAAAAAATAACAATCTGTTATTTCCATCTTTCAATAGATTTGATCGTGCTAATAATTCTTGTCTTCTTCAAATATGTTATTAGTCACGCTTAACTTCATTTTTAAGTTTAACGTTAAAACAGCTGAACATTTACTTATATCCAAGTATGTTTAGCTTCAAATATCATATGAGTTTATATGTGGTAATATGGATATTTACGTTTAGAAGATGCCCGATGAACTATAGGTGCAAAATTTGAAGCTACAGGAAACTGTAGTGGAGGATTTTAACGGTCTTATTATGTAAATCAATCATATAACGTGAATAAATGGATGAAAACTTGGTTAAACTATCTAGTAACAGCTGGTTCACTTTTCAGCCTTCTTAAAGATAATTAGTATTAAAAAAATATAAAAAATTTGTTCTGTAGAAATTATTGAGTGATAACATTGAAATAAAAGTATTCTCAATATATACTCAAACATTCAATAAATGATAAATCTAACTTGTTTAAATGGAGTTTTGCATTGAATATTTATCCTAGAGTGGACATTTCAATAATTAGAACTAACACTGTGATATGAACTAAATATTTGTTCAAGGTATCTAATGACAATGTTCATGCAGTATTACATATGTCAGTTAGCCATGTAACTGAATCGACCCAATTTAAGCACTGAAAGTATATACATCTGAACGTTAAATTTATTATATCATTTCACAGACAACTATGGCTCTTTATTGGACAAATTTCAAAATTAATGTGTTTTATATATTGAATTGGTTCTTATTTTCTGTTCAGTACTACAAACTAACATTAAACTACTGCATCCGTCTGAATCCACTCTAACTACTTGGAATTACGGTATTTTTGCTCTAACCATTATACAGTTAATCATTCATATGAATAATAAATGCGCTAATTAAGTAATAATTTTGGTGGATATATTAGATTGCTTCAATACACCAGTTGAATGAACTCATTAATTGAACGGCGCGAAAATAATGATTAAACTCTTAGCCAAATGGGCTCAAAACTAGCAAAAACTTGTATACCAAACATAGAACAAACAGTTATGAGCGCGACAGTCAATCACACAACGTTGTATCCCAAGTATGTTTATGATATGTTCATTAAAATCATGAGCCAATCTAAGTTAGACCACCGTTGAAAGCCTGGAAGAATTGAACAGCCATTTTGTCCTAGTATTGGAATCCTCCGGAGTTTTAATAAGAAGCAGTGACCGGCAGAGCTAATCTGTGTCGGGTGCAAGGCAGTTGCCCACTGAAAACAATGATGGATAGTCTCACTGTCGTGGATTGACTGAAGTTAGACATCAACACAGCTGGATGCCGACTCAGTGGTTTAGAGGCTAAACGTTTGCTCATGAGGCCGAATTTCGTGGGTTAGATTCCCACGTGTGGGATTTCAGATGTGCACCTCTTGGGAGTCCCATATTAGGACGAAACGGCCGTTCAGTGCTTCGAAGTTACCAATAGAGGTCCAACTAAGATCGGCTCACGATTCGAATGAAATTCAACAATCTCCACAACCCTGTACTGTAAACTATATATTCGTTGTTTATAGTGATTATAAATATCCTTCCCATGTATTGGAACTCCTCGATATTCCATAACTAAATATCAGATATACAACTAAGTACAAACATGACAACATATTCTTCTCTCTAGATCTTAGTACGTGACACAATACAATGGGAAAGATATATTTATCTAAACGACACAGAGTGAGCCGTATGTGAATCTCAATGGCATTCATTAAACTACAAAATGTCTCTAGTTGAAAAGCTATTCAACTACTTACCACTACAACTATTGTTCTTGCTTTATTTATATTTATGAATGTGATTTGTCTGATAAGTACTTAGTCTCATAGTCTTTTTAAGTTCCAAAGTTCGAAAACAGCGTTTTAAGCCCTTTTTAAACATTTTTCAGAAACGATAAACTATAAATTGTAATTTTTCACAACTTGAATGGCTCATCATCCCCAAAACGTCACGATTTCTGTCTTGAAAGCAAACTGTGTAAAATCACGTATACTGAAAAGTACCCAATAAAGCATTTTCAATATTATTCAAAGAAGTACTTCTGGGAATTGAAGAAGTAAACAGATTATACCTACTTGACGCGGATAACTTTATATACATCGAGTCTATCAGTCATCAATAATTCCACAAGAGCTAGCAAACATTCGTTCTCAGGATAACTTTGATCTAGTTCATAGTACACACTTACAGATTTTTACAATATTTAGAAACTCTCTTTTTAAACATACGTTCTGAAATAATACAATAAAATGTGACATATGAACCGGCGTTGTTCATCTATTACCATGAGAACGCTTCTTTTGAATTACTCCATTATCACGTGGTTTAAACCTTTAGAACAAAATGGTTAGTCAATAATCTCTGAAAGATAATTCATTTTTAATTTATTTTGTGCTATTAAGTAGTAACGTACTCTGCACTGAAATACTAATGATTCAAATAACCTATGTGAATCATTTCTTGATGTCCTACAGTTAGCAATAATGTTGCTTGATATGACCGACCGAGTTCATTTCGTTCCATATTTTATGTCCAGTATTTCAGCAAAATATAAACATTTTAAACTAATAAAAATAAGACATTTTAATTTACCTAACTGAATTAAAATAGAAATCAAACGTTGATCACTAAAATCCGGTACATTCATCATACATGGATGAATTGATTCGTTTTTTACTGACATATTTGAATGATCTGAAACAGATATAGACAATGATGTCTTTTTACTTGGGCTCATTTCATTACGGTCTTCATCCATGACCGAATGTTTTACATCATCGTTGATAGTTGGATTATATAATGATTCATTTATATCGACAGTTTCAATAGTCTCCTCAACAATTTTCCCAACTGTGTCCAGCACCACCCCATCTTCAACTTCATCTTCTCTTTCAGCTTCTTTGTCAATCTGATTAAGCATTAATTCGTTAGCTTTTATTGAGTTAGTATTTCTATCTGCAAAAATATTCGATTTTGCAGCACAAAGTAAAGCTGTATTACCAAATTTATCACGTCCTTGTAGATCGACATCAGCTATGACTAGTTTTGCCATAAGACGAATTAAACCACATTGTAAATGAGGTTCATGTTTTAAACTTTTATAACTGGAGAAAATAATTTGCAAAAATAAGACAAGATGAATAGAAATATATTAATCTAATGGGTTCGTAGAGGTTGTGTAATTTCATAGGTTACATTAGATTGACTTTAGTTAGATAATCATCGTTATTCGGGAAGTACTGGACATATATTTGATCCTAGCATGGGACAATTCATCCACAACTCGATCAGATATTGAATCTAGTACCTCCAGACTTTGCGACGTCAGCTCAACATTTAGACAAATTAGCTGGCATCTGCTAGTTTTTATTGCTAACTTCAGTCAACTCTTAATATTGTAAAATTATAATCTGTTATCATTTGTGATGTTTACATCAAGCATGATATGGTTGTAATCTACTACTTACGAACCTCAAGGATCACCTCTCGAAGTCAATTATTAATAAGAAAATGATGATAATTACTAAAGTTAGAAATGTGAACTACTGGATACTAACTCAATGGACCAAGGGTTAAGTGCTCTTCCTAATACGTGAAGCTCCAGGATTCAATTCTTAGTTGGAGTCGTGGATGAATATTGTGGGAGTGCCCCATATCAGGACAAGGTAGAAGTCCAATACTTACTGGTTTTCACTGGGTGTCTGACAAAGGTCAATCCGTAATGCAAACTACGAAATATAGTTTCATTGGATTTCGAAAGGAGAGTTATAACGTTCACTAGTTAGTTGTGAATAGTTTACATTAATAAATAACTTCAGTCAAAAGAACCACTGCAAAACTAGAAATATTGAGCAATGGTTGGTTTATACTGACAGTGACACAAGTATCACCGGTAACAAACGATGATGATCGCGAATTGTTGACAGTTAATTGAAGTTAATGAATCACAACTGACTGTAATCAAAACTCTACTGAGGATATTTATACATAAACTACCTTATTATATCTGACATTTGTAGACACAAAAATAAAAAAGAACAATCGCATAAGTAAATTATGGTTTCATCATTTTAAGTACGCATAAAGTCAATTTCTAAGAGTTTACGAGACCTACCGTTCAACTAAGTAGTGTAAATAAGTTGCTTGATCTGTATGCCTTCTTAGATTTGACTGGAATGATGAATACTCAATTAATTTCCATGCTTTGTTTAAATCAGCAATTGTTTTCGCGGTCTTAACTTGTAAATAAAATGGCGAATTTACGAAAGCCATTTTCCTTTGTTCTACTGACTCTAATGTAAATAAAACACTCGTTACACTCATTAATTTATAATTATTGATTGAACTTTTAATTAATGGAACAGTTCTCATTGCTATAGAATAGATTGAACGTGGCAAGCAAAGAAATCTAGGGTGTTCTTTCAGGACGCATCTGGATGTACCTTCCTTCCAGAGTTGATGTTCACTCTACCAACATCAACTTTGGGAGGCTGGTACATCCAGCTAAGGAGTTTCAAATAGGGCTAAAAGAGTTTCCCTGATTCCACTGCTAGCCACATACCATGTAATCTATTTTAAGGTGTGTCATCATAGCTGTATCAAGGCAATCTGCACAGGATATCCGTATCCCAACCAAGACTGGTTAAATTTCAGCCAAAAATATCAACAACTGAATAATTCAAATCATTTAAATTGAATCAGTTGTGATTGTTTTGTAATGAATAAAATAAAAACAATCAAAAAGATTGTTATATAATTCAGAAACTAGAGTGAATAAAACCAATTATTCTCCAACAGAATTACATTCTAATCCCCTAGTAAATTTCCTTTCACCAATAGCAAAGATAGACGAAAACCGTGAAGCTTCTTCTACCTCAAACGGACAATGATAAAGTATCAAATATTTGGGTAATTATGAAAAACGTTCGAGGTATTCTAGAGATTTGCCCATTAAAGAAGTGAGTTTCAGGAGGAGTTCAGGTTCACATGTATGCGCAAAAATTAACACTTTCAAAACAGTGATCTAAAATTTCGTTGTTAGATATTTTCCAAAATGAAGTCCTTTCTTTCACACTGATAACATTTTCAGTTCGTAAAATCACGTTTAACTGGTAAATTTACATGACTAGGAGAATATATGCAACTTAGATTATTGTAAATGTGACGTCCATATCGGTTTCCTTTTTTAACCATGAATTATCTATCCAAAAAGATGTTTGTTTAATCTCCTAATTGACAATGAACGTAATGTGCAGAGACACTAAGTCCTCCTTCCGATAATCCTTTTTTTTATATCTTATCACGTTAGCATTATTTAATTTCTTTTTGATGCTCAATTTCCGTTCATTTTGTTCTTATCGTGTCATTTAATTTACTAAAATTAATATTAAGCAACTTAGAAGTTTAACGGGCTTGTTCAAATAAGAAGGGTGTAAGTAGACAGGTAGCTAGAAAGAATAATAGAAAAGGAAAATTAGCTGATGACAGCTGCAAAAAATAAGCAGATAGAAAACAAAATTTCAAAGTTTATCTTGCAGGAGAAAACAATGAAATAAGTAAACGTCACACGATATGTTAGAACTGTTTTTTACACCCATTATATTTTGGCGCCAACTAATTATGGTATATATATATATAGTAGCATACACCAAAATAGTTCTCACAGTTCCATCTATTTTTTGTTCGCCAATTTTCAATACTTAGGAAGCTGCAGTAACTAATACAATTAAGTGCTAATCGAATAGTGTCACTGCATTCCAATAGTCTAAATAATACTAAAGAGAGGAAGATTGCCACCGTAAATGTTATTTTGTCAACACCAGTAGACCACAATGGTATTGATTTAGGTTTCCTCCCTTTGAAAAAGTAGTCACTGTCATATAAAATGACCTTGACTAAAGAACACTTGAAAATCAGTGATTACTGATTTCCAGTTTCGTCTCATCAAGAGTACTAATTCACTGTTCGAAAGAAAAAAAAACGTTTTCCACGGGTGACCATAACTCTAATCATATGTTTTTTATTGACTAATTTCTGGAGTTATTCCTCAAGAATCCAGACGGAAGCCTTAAATAATGGTGTCTGTCAATTCCAAGATGAAAGGAAATCAATCACTCTTCTATAACATTGTACTGGAACCGAATCCTAGGTTAGAATGATACAAATTTTCCAGTTCACTTCAGCTTTCATTTATTCCTATTTATCATGTTTCAATTCAGTCAAACTTCTGTACTATTTTATAATATTTAGTAAATCATTAGGTTCCAGATTCAGACTATTTTTGATCTACATCGATATGGGTAACTATATAGCTTCACTTAGTTGCCATACACATGAAAATCGTGTGGTCCCTGAATCCTAGTGTACAAACTTGTTCCTTGTCATTGTATTTCAAAATCGACTCATAAGCTAACGTCTGCTTACCATAATAGTTTGATTCATCCACTGCCCCATATTTTTTAAGTAATTCGATTGCTTTATTTGCTTTATTCCCATAAATGATCGCCAATTCAGCAGTCAATGGACGTGGGGGGTCGAAACTTCTGTCACATTTATTGACTTGACATTTTTCCTTTTCTGAAATAAAAATATTCCATAATTCCTAAACTCTTGATAAATTTTAATAGTTTAAATCACGAACTAATTTAAACTAGAGCTTTATTGAAAACCTAGAAGCACGGGACAACCATTTCATCTTAGTATGAGACCATTAGACAGTGCCCATCCACAGCCCCATATCCGATTATCGAATACAAGGCCTCTAGTCTCGTTTGTTAACGCTTGACATCTGAACCACTGAACTGGTATCTAATGGTATTAACATTTGACTTCAATCAGTTCGCGATGTTGCCCAATCCTCGTTCACTGACTGAATAACTGTTTCACATCTCACATGGCTTAAGTTCGTTGGTCACGTCACGGCTGCTATAGTACTCCAGCCATCTCGGTTTAGGATTGAGGTAGGAATTTCGTGATTTTCTCACTTTCAAACGGCCGCAGTCATGACACCTCTATCTTGTCCCCGTGAAGCAACATCAAATGTAGAACAAGCCACAAAGCAGGAGGAATATTTACCTACAGATATTGTAGAGTATTTATGAAATATGTGCACGTAGTCTCCAGTCATCCATCTGGATCCTTTTGTGTGTTTTGCAATCCAAGTTGATTCTAGACTGCTTTCTCTAGCTTCTCTTCTGGTGCCAAAAGTATTCCGCATACATCGTGCTTTTTGACCTCCTGGAACACTTTGACTGTAGCAAATTACGTGCGACGTATGACTACGTACTACTTACAAGCAATCTCATGAGCACCATTCACAACAAAATAATTAAAGTAACCTCTATGAATTAAAACTTAAAATAACTCCAATTAAATCAATAAAAACAAAAGAAAATATCAGAAGATGGAACTTGAGATTATGCTCACAAACGTTTGTAAAATTAGTGCAAACTGACTGATTTCATTGAATGTAGTCATGGGATCATAAATAAATTTATCGAACAGATAAAATCTACAGTAACTTACCAATTTTAATTGATAAAAGATCTTCCATATAATTTAAATCTAATGCCATTGCAGCTGCAATTAATTCATTGGTATTACGTGCTTGGTCTACATGTTTAACTAATTCATAATTTCCAGTGGACATTGAACACTCGAATAAACTTTTCCCGTTTGGTTGATTTGCTATTGTTCGACACCAACATGATAAATAATAATCCATTTTAATCATATCTTCTCGTTTTACTGAATAAGAAAGAACAAATAAGTGGATACACATACGACTGCAAAATATTCAAGAAGTGTATTCCTTCCCAATTCATGAATCGTCAGCTAGATGTGGTTGAACAGCAAGGCTGGAAAGTAGAGTTATTCAGAAGATATCTTAATAATTAGAATCCTCAATATTAAGAAGTTGAAAGTCTTTAGTAGTAAGTATTGCCTTGCTTGCAGTTTGATGCTAGTTAGCACTTGTCAGTAGTCGTAAAAGAATTGAGGCTTCCTGGACCATAAATTGCCATAATTTTAATCCATAAAGCCATCAAATAATTCATTAATAACAAAAATGACACTTTGATACTCAATTTTTGAAACGTTAATTGTATATTTGTATATCTGTTACGCGGCCAGTATCGAAAATCGCAAATATTTACTGATACCTTATATCCATTAAACAATGTGGTGACTATCTGGATTCAGTAGCTCAGTAGATAATATGTTCAGAACTTGAAGTACAAGGCACTGGGTTTGATTCTCAGTGTAAACATCAGCACTTAAATCCAGACAGATCAGGATGTTGACTCGTGTATATAACTAAAGATGCGTCATGCATTTCATTGTTAACCGCACACCAAATATGCTAAAAGTTTTGACTAGAAGCTATATCGAGACAATCTACTTATGACGTATAGTTCTAATGATAGAGACTGATCAATTATAGCCCTGAGTATCAACAACTGAAAATTACAAACCCTTGACAATAGTTACTTGTAAACTTAAATAATTTAGTGACTGAAAAAGAAACAACTTACTTGCATTCCATATACCACAGTTAAGACCAGGTAAATTTTTTACCAACCATGCTCTTTGTTCTCCATAATGATAAAAGACATGTAGTCCAGAATTGTTTTTAATCTCTGGATCAGCACCTATACAGCAAAAGAAACAAACAAAGGTTATGGTTAATTTACCAACAATTACTGTCACATATTGTACATACAAATCTATAATAGCTTTTGTAGATCAAAGAACGATAACAAACTGAAACATATTACGTGTTGTAAGGGTTTCAATTATCCTATTGTTGATATTAATGAACACGGTTGATCAGTCGCTTACTGGTAAAAGTGAATGCTCAGCTGATTGTCCCGACAAAAGTAAGATTGGAACAATTACAATTGAAACAAAATTCATTCCTCAATTGGTTGATCACCCAGTGATCAATCAAATGTGATTATGTCTCAGTCCTACAGGAGGTCAGTCGCTGCCCGGATAGCTCAGTGGTAACGTCTCTGATCGTGAAGCTGGGTGACACGGGATCGGATCCGCCAGAGAGCACCAGTTCCCTCAAGATTACAGGTACACCATGCTGACGAGTGCCAAGTAGCACGAAACCAGGGTCCAGGGTTTCCTGTCGACTACTTCCAACAACTATCTGATCTCAAAATTCATTACTGTTGAACAAACCAATGGAAATTTAAACACAGTAGCTCAGATATAACTACTGATAGGGTATTAAAAATAAAGATACTGGGTTCCAGTCTTAGTTTGAATTTACTGCTAAACACTATCAAATTTGGCTTTAAAACGAAAAATAGAAGTCCATATCAAACAGAATGATGACTCCACCTGTAGCTCTTCTAGAGTTATTACCGGTTCCATGACCGAGTAAAGGAGGATAGTTGGGCATGTGGTCAGCAGCTCCATCCCATATATATAATCTCGTATCAGCAGTTATTTACATATTTCAGTAGATAATAATGATAGTATATTCTGAAAATAATAATTACAGAATTTATGCCAGTTTACAGGCATGATCAACTTGATATAGAGAATAGATATGTTATAATAGATTGTCTCAAGTTCTTTAGTTTAAAAATTGTTTATTTCGTGCATTTTTCACATGTATTACAGAATTGTTATATCGATAATTCAAGTCTTGACTAACTCAATACCATAAACAAAGTATTAGCTGAACTACCTTCACAAGTAAGTTGTTCTTTTATTTTCGTCTTTTCTTTGTATTTATGTGTATGATTTATTTTCAAATGAGAGAAGAGATTATATTTATTTGTGAGGGTCTTTATATTCAAAACTCCACTTGATCAGTCTCGATTGACATGTGAGTACCTACAGCGGAACATCACTATACAGAGTTATGTCACATCTTGTACTATATTTGTTTTACGGTTGACAGTGGAATCGAAGACGCGAGTTTTATCCTATTTGTGACTCTTCAACTGGATATCTCTGGATCCTAATGCTGATATTCACAATGAAACTTGAACCTTTAGCTTCAAACACCAATGAATTACCAACTTAGTAATTGAGTTTAAGCACTTTCAAAGACGAACTGACATTTAGACATCCATTAAAAATCGATCAGCACTGAAGTCATTTTATTCCAATTAAAAGAGTCTCGGTAAACAGAAGCCCGAACACCATATGAGATTGAATCCAATACCTTAAGATTTCACCACGAATAATCTTAAAACTAGAATAAAACAAAAGATCACTACTTCCCTGATATTTAATATTTGTTCAGTTTAATGACAGTTAATGATGAACATTACCTTCGAAAATTTGTCACCATATTTACTGAAAACTTAATTGAGAGAGTTCAGCCAGTAGTCAGAATTATACCACATAATATTACTTACTACTGTATAACCACTGATCAGTGTAAAGGCAATCTTCGTCCCCTTTGTTTTTTTTCTGTGATTGCATCCAATGAAATTAACACTTCGATTACATAAACGTTAAATGTTGACCAAAAGTTATCGAATTCGGTACGCTAACTAGAAATATCCAGAACTGTTCAATTCATACTCAAGTAGTCACGTTTGGACCAGTACTCAACGCAGAGAAAACTCTATGCGCTCAATCGAACGTATTGTATTTGGAATTCGAATTAGGGACAGAATCATTTATAAGGGTATTATCAATTAGAAGAAACACCGTAAAAATACATTTAACTATCAGAAGGGATTTTTGTGAATATTATAGTAATTTCAATAGTTGAGATCATGAGTCAATTGAAGCTAGACCACAATGGGAAGCCTGGAAGCACTGGACGGCCGTTTCGTCCTATTGTGGGATACCTCAGCAGTGCGCACCCACGATCCCGACTCGCGAGATTCGAACCTGGGACCTACTCACACAAAATGTTTATTTACTTCCCTTAGAAAATTAAATCAAATTTGCAACTAAAAGCGTATGCCCATTTACTTAGACATTCAGAGCGAATCTTGACAAAAATGACTGCTACGCTAGTATCTCTCACTTATCACTTAGCTTGTGGTTGATTGGCCTAACATATCAGGTACAGCAAATTAATCTCAGGAACAGTTGTGTACCGTCATAACTTAACAGTATTCTCCAGAACATGTATTCCATTTATAATTATTTAAAATGTTATGACTTATGCCCCTATCAATTATCACGTGACAAAATCGTTAATCAAAACACCGACTTATATGAACCTGCTCCTGTACTAAACCAATGACACGTCAATTAGAACTATCAGTCTTGAGCCAACTCTGAATCCCTATTGGTCCTCGATATAGTGACTTTTTGCTTAGCCTTACCCGTTGGGTCAACACAATTTCAGTTTCCACTACAAAAATATTATATTTTAGACATACATGGTTTATATAAAAGCAGAACAGACCACATCATAACACAAAATGAAGGATAATAATTGCACAATGCCAAGCCAAGAGCGTCTGTGAGTCTGGGATATGCGCGTTTTTCCTGGATTCTACTTACTTACTTACTTACTTACGCCTGTTACTCCTCGTGAAGGAGCATAGGCCGCTCACCACTGAATTCTACAGCTAACCATTATCCATCTTTGCTTATAATTCACATAATGTTATATGCAACCACTTCATTAAATGAAAATAAAACCAATATTGTTTAAAAAGAGATTGCAAACATCACTTAGTTAGAATTAGAATTACACTTACCTAAACGAATTAAATGTATTGCCAAGAATTCCGTATACGGTAAAAGACATATTAAATGTAACACTGTATTTCCCATATTATTTTGTGCATTAACTGAGCAACGACCGCATACAACAAGACGATATACTAATCCAACAATAGGTGAAGCCCATTCTGGATATAATTGATTTCCATTTATCATATTACAATCATCAAATTGTTTAGCAAACCTAGGTATCGATAAAATTAAATAATGTAGCAATGTATTCCCAGTTTCTTCATCTCTCATATTTCCATGCTCTGAAGTGATTAGTTCATGAGCTAACCATAATTCCTTGATAGAATTATAACTATTAAATACAGTATATAGTTGAAGCGATTTTAAATTATTCTGCATATTCTCTGTGGTAGATGGCAATTTCAATGATTTACAGGTAAGCGAACGATTCACAGTTGTTGTTAACATTTCGCTAAATAAAATTCTATTGGAATCCACCGTCATTGTCAGATAATTAATTTCTCTTTACTAGTAATATATATATATAACACATTTAGTTCAGTATAAGTGCTCCAACGGTTGCCTAGTGATGAATATATGTTTACAACCAAGCACCATCAGATAACTGATCAGCTGACTTAGGACTTGGAATTATTAGGTCACTTATTTAATAAACATAATGGACTGTTTAAATATATTAGAAAAAGTATCGAAATTCCACTATTAGGAATAAATATTTCTTATCTGTTCACTATTGAGTGATGAATTCATGATGTTGATCTATTAAGTGAAACAAGTATATTTCACAAATCTATTCATCTCTTTTGAGAAAGCAGTTCTATATTAACAAAGAAAGAACGAAAATTTTTGAATAGACTATTTTAACAGACTATTGTACTTCGTAGTACTCTTTTTTATATGAGTAAATTTAGAAATTACATAATGAATTATCCATCCATCTTTGTATTCAGGTGTTTATCAAAGAGATGAATGATCCTACCAGACTTATTCATATCGGATAAGACAGTACATTTCACAGCTATAAAAAGGTGATCGAATGAAGTCATTCTACCATAGGGCTAGAAAACTATGCTTGTTTAAATTTTTGAAAAGAAATCAATAGTTTAAAATCAGTCTATAACGTTACCTTCAAAGGGTTTGGCAATTGGAATATTGAAAGATCTAGTTAATGTACTACTCAACAGAATTCATGAAAATCAATCTAATTGTGATATAATATCATGGTTTTTAATTACTCATCTTATCAACCAGTAATCAACATGAATATATTTGATATGTGGTCGGCAGTGAGATTTAAGACTCAAGTTTTATCCTGTTTTGAAATCATCAGCTGGATATACCTACTTACCATTACTAATGTTTACATTGGAACTTCAACCTAGTTTGAAAAGCATAATGTCTTATCCATTAAAGTACCGATGGGTCCATATATCCACTAACTTATTCAACGAATAAGAAGGTATTAATAAGGGATCGTGATTTCCTGTTGCTGATATTCAAAATTGTTACTAATCCGTTTTTATAACCTATACATATTCGACTTTTAAAATGTTTAATATCGTGAAACAAAGTGTAAAGCAATATTTTGATGATTTTAAGTAATCAACAGACATGTAGCAACATATGAATGGATACTGTAAATTATCTAGCTAAATAAATCCTATCAGATTTCAATAAAATCATTGAAAGTGCAAAATAACAATAGTGTCAAGCAAAATACACCATCTTACAATGTCAACAATAAAAGTACAACCAACTTTCATAACAAATAACAAAAACAAACAAAATATGAATATTTACTTATGAAAGAATCAGGAAAATTTAAGCATGTTGTTCATAAGCAAACTTTAAATATCAATTAAGCAAAATATTGACCAGTGGAGCTAATCCGTGTCAGGTAGAGACAGGTATCTACCTCAGTATAATGGAAGATGGTCACTCAATTTTGTCGATTGGTTGAAGTTAGACATTAACACCTCTGGATGCCAGCTCAGTGGTTTAGAGGTTAAGCGTTCGCGCGTGGGACTGAAGGCCCTGGGTTTGAATCCCGCCAGCGGGATCGTGGATGCATCCTACTGAGGAGTCCCACAATAGGACGAAACGGCCGTCCAGTGCTTACAGGTTTTCAATATTGGTCTAGCATCAATCGGTTCATGATCTCAATCATAAACTTTAAAATCTGGTAAATGAAAAAAATCTCTTAAAATATCTCTCTGTTACAAAATAATTCACTTTAAATAGAATCTAAATTATGATGATTTATTCAATCACAAGAATTTCGAATTCGTTGAACGATCTAAACAACGTTGATCTCTAGCTGAATAGATCTGAAGAAAATAAAATTCTTTCTTACAAACGTTTATGTTAATGTAAATCAACTTTACTTCTTCATTAAGTTTGAATTAAAACGAAACATCGATATTAAAGTGTTTCTTTATGAACACCTATGAATTAAATCTAATGACATGGAGAATTAAATAATATTGTTAATGGCGAAACAAGTCAAAATTGAATATTATCAAGGGATGATAAAGTATTCCAGCTGACTTTTCTCATGGGCTTTTCTTTTAGTTTTTTTGGCATAAACACTACTTACAAAGTAACTAGACATCATTCAGCCAGATACACTTTATTAATTAAACTCCAGTAAGGATTAATAGCAAGTAAAGATTTAAAGGCCTTTGATTAAATCAATACCAGTACGAACAGGATTTTTTTGTTTTGTTAGATTATTAATTCCCTGATAGAATACAACAAACTTTACATCCAAAATTTTACTACAAGTCCACATATATTATAATTAGGTACAAATAATGATTCATGTATGGATACATTCATGTTTCTAACTTTGAATAGGTAAAACATTAGTCAAAAACGAACACGAAACTAACAGTTTTAGAATAATTTAAAATTAAATCGAACAAGTAAACACTTTCAAATGGTACACCACAATGTTGAATCACTCAACTAATTGGGAACATTGCTAACTTATTCATTAATTGTATTCCGTTAGCACTAAGACTAAGATAATGTAAAACTCATTCTTAACCAATAATTGACTTATACTTCCGATCATGTTCATCAAAAGTTATTGATAACTAAAGCAACCCATTAACAATATCTTCGATTTCACTGTTGAGTGACTAAACGTTTACTTACTGAGGTAATATAAATTTGTCTTTAAAAGTGGTGTTAAAATCTAGAAATATTAAAAAACAGATCAATAACTTGGTATCTTTCGCAAAATTATTATTCTATGATAAAGTTCATCAAAAATGACTGTGTCCTAACCTCAAAATATAAATTGGTCATTCATGTCGTTGAACTGTAGTCTTAATATAGATCAAACGGTATGTATGATCAATGACGTACTGAGGGCTTTTAAAGAGATTAAAGTGAATTTCTCTTTTTTTTAAAGTGAAATTTCGTTAATTTCAAAATCTTTATTTCTATCTTGGAACTAGTGTAAACTATTCAGAGTTTAGGAATTAGTTCATTAATGTGTATCTTTTCACAACTCCTCACAGTCATATAAGGTTTACGGTTTTATTCGTTTACTCAAACGTAAGTAGCAACACTTTTTCAACATTAACCATTTCACAGAACAGTGTAGCCATCATTTGTTAATGTTTACTATTTACACTGGCTACATCATGATTTACTATTACGCTTTAAACTTATTTATAGTCTTACTGATTCCAGATATATCATATGCTTGTGCTCATATGCCATTTTAAGACTAAACGATGGATGATGAATGGCAAATAAAGCACATTGTTAAATGAAGTCAATTAAGGTCTTAACCTAAAAATCAAAATCAAAAATGCCTATATTTCATAAATTTTGTGCACTATTTAGTTTACTAATTATTAGCGTCCTAGTTATTCACAGTCCTCTTATTTACATATCAGGTTAGGCAAGTATTTAAGAAGCAGATATACCTGTATCTACATCAGACAACCATTAAATATAACACTTTCATTCGTTAGAAGAAAATTCTCATATCAATTGATTAAAATAGAAAACTTTAAAGTAACATGATGAATTTATTTTTATTCTAGAAAATCTATAAAATATAAAGAGGCAGTGAATAAACATGACAACATCATCCTAACTATTAACATAACATCAGTGAAAGAAAATGTATTTCAAAAAAAAAGGTAAACAACTCAATCAATTAAAATCATTTTTAAATACAAATAAGCAAAGAATAATCACAGATATTACTCGTAATGAATTCAACTAGTAGTTCTGTAATGAATGAGAACACAAGTGAGGATAATCAAATACATTTTGTACACAATATTAAAGTCAGTTAGCTACAACGTAGGACCAGGCACTTATATGCATCGGTCCAAGTTGCAATACCTCATTAACACAACAAGATAAACATTGGTTTCATAAAAGTAGTTAATTCAGTTGTGGTAATATAGAATAGAAAGATTACAATAAGGATATAGTACAGGAAGAAAGAATTAGTTCGTAGAAAGAAAGATATTAAAATCTGTGAACCATACAATAAATACTTCATTTGTAAAATGTCAATCAATTGTCTCAAAATTGACTGTTCGTTTTGTTTTAAACTTTATTTTTGTTCCGACATTTTCATATCAATTACTTTTTGTTTTCATTCTTTCTCTTCTCAATCTTCTTGATCTTTTATTGTCAGATACTGTATTCCTGACTAGTGTTACATACTACTTATGTCAATATAAGTAGCACACAATACAATTTAAGACATTTCATTTTTATAATAATAATGAATTAATTAATGATAATAGTAATAAGAAAATACATCCTATTGTCATTGTTATACTCATTAATTTTAATTCATTTAATATAGGCTTTATATTTAACATTGATAATTGTTGATTATCATTGTTATTAGTTAATGGACAAATAGAACTAATTCCATTTATATATATTTCATATAAACCATTAAATGGTATCATATCATCTAATAAATAATGTATAAATGGTATTATATATTGAATGAAATTCAATTTTAATTCATTCCAACTAATTGAAAATAATCGATCGATTAAATGTTCAATATCTAAATTGGATAAACATTGAATTTGTTCTAATAGATTTAAACTAATATTGGCAAGTTTATCAAATGGTTTTAAAATAATTTTATTTTGTTCAATAATATTTAATTGATTTTCAATAAATAAATAATTACTATGATATTCTTTATATAATCGATTTAATTTTTTATAAAAATTTATTAAATTTTTATGTTCATCATTTGAAATCTTTTTTAAATTACGTAAAATAATTAGAAAATAATTAAAACCAGGATGAATTAAATAATCATTGACATGACCAACAAATAAATGATCAAATAAATTGGTTAAATTGAGTGTTAATTTAGTTTGTTCATATAACCCGCGATAATTGATTGGCGGGATTTTTGATTTTAAATCATAATATTTTGTTTTATT